AACTGAGCTTTACATGAAACTTTCATGATTGCAATAAGGTCTCCAAGTCCATCACCATGCTGGGTGTTGCTCAGGTGAGGGAAGAGAGGAGAGGGCTGAATGGGCCCAGGAAAGGGTTCTGCATCCTTACAGGATACCTGGGGCAGACAAGGGTGCCCTGGGGTGGCCACACAGATGGGTGCTGCCAACTAAGCCAGGCCAGTCCTGCCATTTGTTGCCCGTGTTGCAATGCCAAAGAAAGTGAAATGCAGAGCAGGGGTTGCAGGGCTTTGGGCACTTGCCCTCCAAAAGACCTTGCGTGACTGGTACCCTCTCTGAACTACCCTGATAAGAGCAAACCCTTGAGCACAGGGAGGAACAAGCAGTTACTCTAGTGCAGCCACCTCCTGCTCTATAAATAGTTGGTAGGAAACATGCTGATGGGTGACCCTCAAGGCCACTGACACATGTGGCAGGATTGCAAAACGCAGTTGTGTGCAGTGCTCTCCTGCTCTCCGCCAAGCCTTTCAATAAGAGCTCACCTTTAGGGAAGCCGGCAGCTAGGCAAGCGCCTTTCCAGCGGGAGTGTTTCTAGGCTGCCGTGCTCTAGCGAGGGCTCGTTTGTGACACTGTTAGCCACGTGCCACCCTCAGCATGGCCACAGCACACTGGGCCCAGCAGGCTGGGGAGCTGCCCGGAAAGAAACCCCCAACCCGCTCTGGCAGCAGAGAGCAGCCTCGCTAGCCATCACCTACTCACCAGCGTTTGTTCCCCCCAAAACAAGAAGTGCAACTAGTATCTGGAAATGGAGATTCGAGTGTTTCTCAACACGGGGCAGTCCTGAGGGGATGGAAATGACATCAGTCAGCATAGCACAAACTGGTTTTGTTGGAAACACAAAAGACCAGCGTGGAGAAGTTAGGAGGATAAAAACCAGTGAAGGAAAACATCTGATACTCATTTGCAAGAAACTACTTTATTTTTTACAAAGCCTTGCAAGGGTCCATGCTATAGCATACCATTGCAGTTGATCTTTGCTGCTTTGGCTCCTTGCAAATACTGCATTCCTAAAATGTGCGGTTTTCCCAACAGCTACTATAAACCCAGCCAAGTTAATTTAATTGCTTGCAACTTGACATCCATTTTGCAGCAGCTCTTCTGGGCAGAGGTCCTTGTGCAGGGTGTGCACACTGAGGTAGAGAAGGACAGATGTGCACGGAGGATTTAGCAGCTGTGCATCCTCTGTAATACCCTGGGCAGCAGCAAACCAACCTCCCAGTGAGGGGAACTGCTCCATCCAGAGCGAGGGAGGCAGCTGGAGAGCTGTCTGGAGACACCGACTGGGAACAGGCTGGAAATCACAACTCCTGACAAACTTTTGGGTGGAAATAGGACAGAGCTCAGCACTGCTATATGCAAAGCTTTACACCCGGGCCAGCACGAGGAGCATGGAAAGGGAGTCCTGTGGGGACAGGCAGCTCTGGGTTTCAGCCGGCTGCTGAAAGCAGACAGGCTTCTGGGTTCACAGTCTCTGATTTGGTTCTCACAAAATGAAAGCTAAATACAGCTTGAATAAAATTGTTCTCAGTTTATTTGTTTCATCTTCAGTAAGTAGACCGCTTGAGAGAAAAGGAGAGTTAGCAGGTGTGGAGCTGATGGGTAGGAGAGAGGAAAGAGGCCCAGAGCCCCAGGAGGGAAGCGGAAGATGTGAACCAACACAGAACTTTAAATTTTTGCTGTTGAGTAAATTTCCCCGCATGGAAGTGGCTTTGGCCCCTGGAGCCGAAGCGATGGAGGCAGTGGGAGCGCACTCACCCTTCAGGGTGCAACCCAAACCCCCCCACCCCGGCCGGCTGCCCTCGCTGCCGCCTTGCTCCAGCCACTGCCTCTGCTTTGGAGCAGAAGAGCTGAGCCGTGAGATCCCAGGCAATTTCACGAGATCATTTGGGGCCGAGTGGGAGCAGCCGGGTGAAGCTTTACATGAGACTTTGGGCCTCATGTCCAAAGGTGCCAGTGGCACTGGGTTTCGTGCTCCCCTCCGTGCTGTCTGCTCCCAGCCCGCAAACACATCCTAATAATTTTTCTCATTACTCTCTTTTGCAGTCTTCTTGCAAAATGGTCCATTATTTGACTGGCAGAAATATCTACGTGCTCAGCGCACCCTAGCTCACACCGAGGTGCACAACCTTTCCTCTTCCTGCAAACCCCGTGTCCCTGTGAGAGGCAGCAAGTGCAGCAGGAGGCTGGTTGGCACGTGCAACCCCAGGGCTCGGTACCTGCAGCTGCTCGCAGCACTACAGTATGAAGCACCCCAAAGACGCCCTAAAAAACACATTACATGATGCACAAAAGCACCCTCTGAGCTGTCGGATGCTGGGCGTGGAAAGCAAACGGCAGCCGATAAGCGGGACTGCAGGGGTCCGAGGCGAGGGAGGAAGGGCTTCCCCTGCACGGCAAGGATGGGGGCACCATCCGACACAGCGGTCACCCCAGGCTGAGCGCTGCCCCGCGCTGACCCCGGAGCAGCGGCTCCCCGGGCCTCCCCTCATTGCGGGGATGCTCAGCCAGCCCCGCAGCTGCCGTCCCCTTTCTGCCCTTTCGCTGCTCATTCGGGCTCTGGGAGGTGCTCCCCGGAGGCTGCGCTGGGCTCTGCCGGGCAGCGATACCCCTGCCATACCCTGTAACAATACAAATAATACAGTTGGAAGAGCCACGGCCCTTCCAGCTGTCCCAGTTCCACTAGATGGCACCAGCAGTGTGTCCTTCCCCTGCCTCGGCTGTCCCCAGGCCTGGCTGTGGGCTGCACTGGGTGCTGTGGGACATGCTGGGAGATGCAGGCCACACTGGGAGTTGCGGGATGCACTGGGAGCTGTGGGCTGCACTGGGAGCAGTGAGACGCACTGGGAGTTGTGGCTGGTGCTGCTTAGCATGCACCCATCCCCGCAGCTGGGTCCGGCCTTGCTTCCCAGCTGGGTCCTGGCAAGGCTCAGGGCTGGAGCTGACAAGGACGTTTCCATGCCCACAGGCTCTTCTGGTCAATATTGCAGGGTGCTTAGTTTCCCAGCATTGTAAGTCTCCTCATGGAAGGAAGGGAGGAAAGGGAATAAAAACCAATTTACTATAAAATATTGCAATTCACAAGCGACTTGCCCTGGGGTCTCATAGTTTTAGGGATTTATTCTCCTCGTGTACATTTTACATCCCACACAAGTTAATTTGTTCCACTTTCTCTGTACTATTACGTCAAGTCTTTCCTCACACCTTGCAGCATAATTCAGGAGGGTTGGTTTTCCCTTGCATTAAGCAGCAAGACCTGAAGGTCACCCTCGGGTGGGATCTTTGGGAGCTCCCTGCTAACACAGTGCCTTCCCTAGGCTCTGCTTCCTGCTCGGACGTGCCTGGAGGGACAGAGCACGCCCCGGGATTGCTCCTCTCTGCGGCCTTGGTCAGACACCTCCAGACAGATGCCCAGGTTTGTGCTTCTAGAGTTTTGGTCTGGTGGACTCATGGCCAGCAAGTCAAAGCCTGAAGCAACCCCAGAGGCAGCGAGCAGATGTTGTGGGCTGACACCACAGCCTACCCCTCCTCTGGTTAGCATGGTTCGATGACCATGTCCTTTCCCAGCCTGTCCCAGAAACCCATGTGCTGTAGAAAAGCAGCATGAAGCTTTATGGTGCTGTGGATCCCTCCCGGGCAGCCTCCTCCCAGGCCACAAGAGGCAGGAGCAGAGGGGGCACAGGGAACGCAGGGGCCAGAGGGGAAATGCCTCTTTCTTAGCCTCGCAGTTGCTTGGCCAAAGACATGTCTACTTTGCTGTAACGATTTTCCCACCTCCAGGGTGCTGCAGACACCGTGTTCCCTGGCACGAAGGGGGTCCAGGCGAGATCGCGGGCGCAGGGGGTGGGTGAGAGGCTCTGTGCCAGGAGCCCCCCAGGCGCAAAGGCAGCAGCAGCCCTCTCCTGCCCACTGCAGAGTCACACAAACCCCATCCAAACCCATTAGCTGTGGCCTGAGATCCAGGCTAGAAAGGAGGAATCTGGGACATTTGGGAAGGTCAGGGCCCACAGTAAAGGGAAGTGTGCTGAGATCCCCCCCCAAACAAGGGAAATTGCATCCCTGACCACCCCACAGAGCCCCGTAGCCCTTGATCCCCGCTGGCACACGCCATCCTCCCTCTTCTCCCCCCTCCTTACCCAGGGAGCAAGCTGGGATCCCCCTCGCACCGGGAGCCACCTCGCCGCCTCCCACGCACCATCTGCTCCCCCAGATGACTTGCGGGCAGCCAAGGCCTGTCCCCTGACGCCATCCACCTCCAAGCGATGCGGCCGTTCTGCCCCCATCCCCATTCCCTGTCCTGGCAAACAGCCGGGGATCCTCCTGCTCTGGAAAACCTCCCACGAGCCACTGGCACTAAACCCCACGGACAAAGCTCCTGACCTGAGGTTTCCTTCCTGAAGTCAAGTCTTTATTTGCCCTTTCCGTGGCTTGATGCTCCACGCAGGGTGGAGGAATTTGCAATTTAGAAACACCACCAAAAGCAGATATTTCTGCCACGCACACCCGGAGCAGCAGCAGTGGAGCCGGGAGCTCGGCGTGGGCTGGCTCTGAGCTGCCAGGGTCGCCTGCGGAAAGCCACGCATCCCCGAAGGCTTCCTCGGCTGGCGAGTGGCGTACGCCCTTCCCCGAAAGTGAACATCAAACGGAAGAGAGGCATGTAGCAGTCAGAACACGTTGGGAAGGAATGGTCCAAGTGCTGAGGAATTATCTCAACAACCGTGATCAAAATGTCAGACGGGTTTTTATAACCCTGACCCGCACCCAACCCGGCAGGCTGCGGGCTCACCCACTGGTGCCGGCAGCCGCGG